GAGAAGGAGGAGGAGGAGGAGGAGGAGGAGGAGGAGGAGGAGAAGGGGGAGGAAGAGCGACTCTGGTCAGCTTGGGATGGGAAAAGCGGGCAGGGGAAGGCAAGACGATCCAGGAAGAAACAGCAAGATCACGCTGCTGAAGGGAGGAGATGAGCACCGCTGCGTTGCATGAGGGCTACCCCGAGCGCGCACTTGAATAGCAAAGCAAACAATAATTGCACGCACGTCCGCTGCCGGGCAGAGACGAGGAGTAGGAGGAGGAGGAGGAGGAGGAGGAGGAGGAGGAGGAGGAGGAGAGGGAGGAGGAGGAGGACAAGGAGGAGGAGGAGGAGGACCAGTGCAAAACCAAGAGTCATCAACGGTGTTGGAATTAACCCTCCCTCCAAGCTCCGTCTTCATAGGCCCCCACAACGGTTCATTTCCATTGAGGGAACTGCCTCGTTGGAAGACAACCGTTTGAAGATCCTGAAGCGTGCCAGCACATTGTTCTGAGAAAATCAACGCCACGTATCAACCTGACTGCTGCGTCTTGACGATCCGGAATCGTGCCAGAGCGCCACTGTGGGGATTTCAACACCGCGAACCAACATAACTGTTGCACCCACTTCATCCTGAATCCTTCCAACACGCGATTTCTGGTACGCTGATCATGGGAACCCGTTAAACTTTTGCAAAGATTGAGAATGAATGTGTGCGGCGCTAAGGCGAAAGCCACAGTTTGAAAAGGAAGCGCCCTCAATCCGCGAAACCCTTGCAATTTGTTAAACCAAATGTGCGCGGCGCTAAAGCGAGAACCACCTTTTGAAAATCACCCGCCCTCAATCCGTGAAACACTTGCAAATTGTTAAACCGAATGTGCGCAGCGCTAAGGCGAGAGCCACATGTTGAAAGGAACCACCCTCACCCCGTGAAACTCTTGCAAATTGTTAAAACGAATGTGCGCGGCGCTAAAGCGAGAGCCACATGTTTAAAAGGAACCGCCCTCAATCCGTGAAACTCTTGCAACTGTTGAAAATGAATAGGCGCGGCGCTAAGGCGAGAACCACATGTTGAAAAGGAATCGCCCTCAATCCGTGAAACTCTTTCAAGTTCTTACAACGAATGTGCTCGGCACTAAGGCGAGAGCCACATGTGGAAAACGACCCGCCCTCAATATGTGAAACTTGCACATTTTTAACAACGAATGTACGCGGCGCGAAGGCGAAAGCCACATTTGAAAAAAAACATCCGCCCTCAATCCGTGAAGCTCCTGCAATAAAGAAACGAATGTGCGCGGCGCTCAGGCGAGAGCCACATTTTGAAAACGACCCGCCCTCAATCCGTGAAGCTCTTGCAAATGTTTGAAGCGAATGTGCGCGGCGCTGAAGCGAAAGCCACATGTTGAAGACCACCCGCCCTGCATCTGTGAAACTGTTGTCACTTTTAAAGCTTCAGAATCATAAATGGTGAGGACCCGCCCTAACAAACTGGCCTCGGGGTGCGACAAGGAGGAGTTATCTATAAGGAGAAGGAATGGAGGAGGAGGAGGCGGAGGAGGAGGAGGAAGAGGAGGAGGAGGAGGAGGAGAGGGATGAGGAGGAGGAGGAGGACGAGGAGAAGGACGAGGAGAAGGGCGATGAGGGAGGAGGGGGAGAAGGAGGGGGATGAGGGAGGAGGGCGAGGAGGACGAAGAGGACCAACATCCGAACCATCGTCCGAGCGGCCGCGCATGCCGCCCTTCCCCGGGCGCGCCTTCGCACTGGCCCCACGCGGCGGCATGGCAGGCCACCGCCGCCGCCCACAGGGCGGCGCGCCAGAAGAAGCGGGGCATCGCTGCCGCCCCCTCCCCCGGCTGGGCCTCGAAGGCCGAGGAGCGGCGGCGACAGCGAGCGGCGGTGGCGGCGGCGACGGCGACGGCGGCGGCGACGGCGGCGGCGACAGCGGCGGCGGCGACGGCGACAGAGGTGTTCCTGCTCCTGCTGCTCCTGCTCATCCCCATATCCTTCCTCTCCTCCTCCTCCTCCTCCCTCCTCCCTCCTCCTCCTCCTCCTCCTCCTCCTCTCCTCCTCCTCTGCCTCCTCCCCCTCCTCCTTCCTCCATTCCTTCTCATTAATAGATAACTCCTCCTTGTCGCACCCGATCCTATTTTTGGGCGGGCCGGTCGTTGAGGGGGGGCCTGAGACTTTCCCACCACTTATGACTCTGAAGCTTAAAAGATGACAACAGCTTCACCGATGGAGGGCCGGTGGCTTTCAAAATATGGCGCTCTAAGAATTTGCAAGAGCTTCACAGACTGAGGGCGGGTAGTTTTCAAAGTGTGGCTCTCGCCTGAGCGCTGCGCACATTCGTTTTTTATTGCAGGAGTTTCACGGATTGAGGGCGGATGGTTTTTTCGAATGTGGCTTTCGCCTTAGCGCCGCGTACATTCGTTTTAAACATGTGCAAGAGTTGCACGGATTGAGAGCGGTTCCTTTTCAACATGTGGCTCTCGCCTGATCGCCGCGCACATTCGTTTTCAAAAAATGCAAGACCTTCATGGATTGAAGGCGGGTCGTTTTCAGAATGTGGATATCGCCATAGCGCCGTGCGCATTCGTTTAAACAATTTGCAAGAGATTCACGGATTAAGAGCGGTTCCTTTTCAACATGTGGCTCTCGCCTTTGCGCCGCGCACATTCGTTTTTTGTTTTAAAGTGCAAGAGTTCCTCGGATTCCCATGATCAGTGTACCAGACATGGTGTTTTGGAAAGACTCAGGATCATGCTGGCGCAACAGTTATGGTGATTCGCTGTGTTGAAATCCCAAAAATGGCATTCTGGCACGATTCCGGATCGTCAAGACGCAGCAGTCAGGTTGAAACGTGGCGTTGAAATCCCGAGAATAATGGTTTGGCACGCTTCAGGATCTTCAAACTGTTGTCTTCCAACGAGGCAGTTCCCCCAATGGACATGAACCGTTGTAGGGGCCCCTGAAGAGGGAGCTTGGAGGAAGGATTAATTTCAACATCGTTGATGACTCTTGGGTTCCCACTGGTCCTCCTCCTCCTCCTCCTCCTCCTCCTTCTCCTCATCCTCTTCCTCTTCCTCTTCCTCTTCCTCTTCCTCCTCCCTCTCCTCTTCCTCTTCCTCCTCTTCCTACAGTTACCCTAGCACAGACAGAGGAGGAGGAGAAGGAGGAGGAGGAGGAGGAGGGAGCAGGCAGAGCGTTGGCAGAGGAGGACAAGGTGGAGGAGGAGGAGGAGAAGGAGGAGAAGAAGCAGGAGGAGGAGCAGGAGCAGGAGCAGGAGCAGGAGCAGCAACACAAGGAGGTGCAGGTGGAAATGGAGCAGGAGGAAGCCTTTGGAAGTTCTCGGGGTCTTCGGGGGGGGCCTGGAAACGAAGCCCTGGAAATGGGCCTGGGGAACCCTGGGCACTCAGAGGGCTCGAAGACAGGAGGGGAAGGAAGGACGACGAGGAGGAGGAGCTGTATTTCCCCTAACCCGGGAGCGCCACAACTGTTCACCGTTTGTTGGAGGGCCGGGCACAGAGACGACGAGGGAACGATGGAAAATAAGAGAAAGACGAGGCCGTTGGGGACAGCAACGACTGGCACAAAGCGCAGGCACGGCAACGCGAAGGGCAAAGAAACGAAAGAGGAGGCGATAAAACGGGGTAGGCAAGACGAAGCAAGGCAGACGATAAACGGCAAGAGAGAGGCGGGCCCAGGCTCGCGGGCCCTCAGCGCCCCCACCACGAAATCCAGACCGCCCTCGACGACTTATCACGACGACCTGAAGCCCTGGTCGAACACCGCTGACAAACCGATCGCTCTCAACGAACTGCACCCGACTACTGGATGGCATAAACGAACACGGTTTCCGTTAGGACGCCCCTCCCCGACAAGAACACCTCGGACAGCAAACCCCACTGACCCTTGAACTGCCCCTTCAACTCAGGAAGCAGCTTGCTCATCGCCACGCTGTACGAAGTCATGGACTCCGACGGGTCCCTGAAGTTCGGGTCATACTGCTTCAACGCCGTGTCAGGCACGCAAGCATCGGCCTCCTCCATGATTGCCTGGATATCGGCAGAGAATCGGCAGCACCAAAAACATCGACACCCCCTTCCTGAAGAAGATCCGCAGGCGCATGAAGAACATCCGTTACGCCAGGAAGACCCGCCCCGTGCTCGTGAGGAAAATCTTCCACACTGCCCAGACAAAGATCCGCTCCACGATCGCGAGGACGATCAGCAGCACGCTCGGGGAGAGGAGAAGCACCCCGCTCCCGAAGCAGCTCCGCACGACAAAGGGGCGATCCTCGGGCTCGTGGGGAAGACTCGCCCCAGGCGCCCGGAGGTCAGCACGGCGCCAAGAACACCCGCGCCACCCTCGGGAAATGGAGTCCGCGCCACGCTCCCTGGGGAAGACCCGCAGGCTCTTGACGAACACCTGCGCGACCAGGAAACTCCGCACCGCGCGCGCGCAGAAGGTCCAAAAGGTTTGGAGTCCCGAAACGGGTCGGTGACGGACCGTGCGGTGACCTCGAAATCCCCCAAACCTCACCGCACGGTCCGTCACCGCTCGGTTTTGGGACCCTGGAGGCCCCTGTCGCCCGAGACATCCTCGGAGAGAGACCCGAGTCCCAAAACCGTGTGGTGACCCCGAATCCCCACCGACTCACCGCACGGTGTGGTCACAACCCCGTTTGGGGACCCCCGAAAAAGCCCGCCTCCCAAAGAAGACCTGCACTGCGCTCGTGGAGAAGGTCGGCGCCCTCGCTCCGGCAAGAGGTCGGCAGCCGGCCACACGCCCGGGAAGACCGGCAGGCACGGGCAAGGAGCTCGCACCACGAGGGAGACGACCGGTGTCGCCATCGAACGTGGCGATGGCCCCGTGCAGGCGGCCGAAAATAGCCGTCGGCCCATGTCCCAGAGATGCAACGTATAGAAAAAAACAAGACGCAGGTTTTCCGTAACTTTCGGCCCCAAGGGGCCCTCGCCGGGCCCCAGGACCGTCAAAAAACGACTCAGGATGAAAAACCTGTCCCGCAGAATGGGACGAGACCTCCGGGGACCCCGTATTGAAAAAATCACGACGTCGGATCTCCGGGGTATCATCTGCTCCATGGCGACGGTCGCCACCTGGCCCGCGGCATTGCACAGCACGGCCACACCGGCAACCGGGGAGATGGTTTCCTGATGTCTGCGCGCTTACGCACTGGGTGCCGCCAGAGACGTCGGACAGCTCGGTCCTCGAAGGGCCCGCGCACGCCAAAGCGCCGTACGACGAGGCAGAAGACTGCCCTACCCGAGAGCAGGCCGTCGAGCGAGACAACGATGGCAACAACACCCGCGTGCGAGATGCTTTGCGGGGCGGGGAGACGGTATCCTCGCCAGAAGCTGGGCGCAGCTGGCGACTATAACAGATAAACGCCCGGATCATCACCAGAACAGCCAATATCATGTCGACGAGGGTCATTAATCTTCTGGGTCCTTATCGCCGTCATCGACGTCGTTGTCGTTTCCGCCACCGTATCCCTCCGCAGCGTCATAAGGCTCAAGACATCGAGGCCGCAGCACGAAGGAGGCGCCCGAGCGCCCGCCAGGGCGCCATAGTGGTGATGGCCATGGCCAACGACGGCGTACTGCGCCTCAATGGCAAGCACCTGCTGCAGCAGTGCCTGCGCGAGCTCGTCCCAAAGGCTCGCTGGTTCAAAAATCGGCATCACCGCAATGTGGAGGCGGAGGCCAGCAGCGATCATGCTGATCCGCACCTTCACAGGCCGCTCAGCCGCCGCCTGCTCCATGAGCCACGCGACCCGCGCACGGATGGCCATCGGCGCCGCGCTGGAGTGGGAAGGCGGGGAGGGGAGGGGGGGGGGAGCACGTGCGTCCGCGCGGCCACCGAGGCGCAAATGAAGCTAAAAACGGCTGAGTAGGAGGAGAAGGAGGAGGAAGAAGAGGAGGAGTAGGAGGAGAAGGGGGAGGAGGTCAGGGACGAGGTCGAGGAGGATGAGGATGTGGAGAAGGTGGAGGAGGTGGAGAAGAAGATGACGAGGAGCGTGGAGGAGGAGAAGTAGGGAGGACGAGGTCGGAGGGCGGCAGTAGCGCTGCAGCCGCTGCCCTTTCATCCATCGTCACTCGCTCTCTCCAGGTTACCACGGAGAATAGACGGCTGATTGAGTCGATTCACCCAGGGTGGGATTTGTTGCTGTGTTGTCTGCGCAGGGTTGGGTAAAGCCCGACCTGTCCACTGAGGCTTGGCAAGCTGAGACGAGATGGGAGGAGGAAGAGGGGGAGGTGGAAGTAAAACGTCGACAAAGACGAGGCGGAGGAGGCCAAGGAGCGCGGAGGATGAGGGAGGAGGAGGTGGGAAGAAGAGGAGGAGGAGGAGGAGGAGAAGGAGGAGGAGGAGGAGGGAAGAAGAGAAGGAGGACGACGAGGAGGAGCATAAGGAGGAGGATGAGGCGGAGGACGAAGAGGAGGAGGAGGAGGAGGACGACGACGACGACGATGACGACGACGATGAGCGAGAAGGCGGTAGGAGGGGAAGGAGGGGCGCGGAGGGGCAGCGCGGAGGTGCAGCGCGGAGGAGACAGAAGAGGGGGGAGCGGGAGGGGGGGTGGAGGGAGGAGGCGAATAGGAGGAGCAGGAGGGAAGAGGGCACAAGCATCCTGCAGAGGCGAACAGAGGCGCCCGTCACGCGGCCGCCACACTGCAAGCGGCCGTCCCCTCGACGGTCAATCAACGATCGATGCATACGGCTGCAAGCGCAATCCACGGCTCACTGCTTGGCCACGGGGTACTTGAGGGGCCTCATAGCGCCTATGGCTTTCGTCGCGACGTCGATCTCTGCCTCCGCCGCCTTCCCGGCGTACAGGGTGCCGATCTTGCCGAACCAGTCCAGATCGGTCAGGGCCGACTTCACGTCTGCCTCGATGAGGTTGTTGGCGTCGATTTTGATGTCGACGAAGTCTTTCCACGGAAGCGCGTTGTACTTGCTGCCGACGTAAGCCATAGACGTGTCGACCTTGGACGGGATATCGGAGACAACATCCAAAGGAATCTCGATCTGCAGCTTGTTGGCGCCCACTGCAATGCGCTGCAGCGGCCGCTTCCCGTATAGCAGGGCCACCGAGGGATGCGCCTTCGGGATGAAATTGATCATGGCTGCGAGTTGGACAGTCCAACCCCGCCTGCACCAGGCGCGGCTGGTGCAACAAAGGGGAAACTCGAGCCAAAGCGGCCACGGATTAGTATAAAAGAAAGGGCAGCAAG